CCTGAGCACTCCCTCTCTCTCTCTCTCTGCCAGCACACGGTCTGAGCGCTTCACTCGCTCATTGGATCAATCACCAAATGGACAAATGATAAAGGGTCTTTTCCATGAACATGTATAGGTACTTTGCCATGTCATTGAGCTCCAATCTGAGAAAAACGGATAGCGCCACTAAGAGAAAATGAGTCTTCAATGAAACACGGCCCCCTTTCGTTCGTTGCCGTTTCCTTTCTCCATAGCCTGCCTTGTACCTGCTCACCTGCTGGCCCATACTTAGATYARCAAGAGTCAGGGCAGGATGTCTGTCATTGCCCAATGTCCAATCCTCTCCTTTTTGCACAGATGAGACGGGCAGATCTTGCCCCTGTAATCAGGATGTGTTCACCCCGCTTGTAGGGGCAGGTAAACGCTTGTAATTATTCAGCAGGGAAACGACATATCATGCCCGTAAATCTGGATGTATTCACTCCTATTTCGGGAACAAATTCAGAGCTTATGATTGTAAGGATGCAGCGGGCATATATSGAACCCAAATATTTGAATGTTTACGTCCCGCCTTTTGAGGCAGATTAACGCATTATCAATCCCACAGCAGAGCGACGCCCGCCAGTTAGCTGACTTGACAGGGAGCCATGCACGCCATGCACACCAGGCAGATACTTACCTGCTATTCTTGGTTATACTCATCAATCAATTTGACTTGGCTTCCCCCTCTCCCGTCTGTTCACACGCTCACTTGGTTGAAGCACTAGATCACTGGGCRCGCATCACGCAAMTTTCCCGGTGCCCCCTCCTTGGCTCGGTCGTGAGCCAGGTGCAGCTTGCCCGCCTACCTCTCCTGTAACCACCTCGCGACGAACTTCTCTCCGCTCACTGCAGCTCGCGTCTGAGGTGTGCGGGGTACGCCTGGCACGCTCTCTCCTCTCGTAGCTGGGTCTTCCCCCTATATCCTATGGCGTGTCGAGTCCACCCTGCCTTCCGATTGCCGGGCCCTCCCGTATCTCCCTACGATGTGGCCCTGGTACACTGGCCCTTGGCTGCCGCAGACCACACGCTCRGGTTCACGAGCACAGGGGCACTGGTTGTTAAATTCGGTCCGCCTTATCGCCGAAACAGCGGGACCAAGCTACCCAAGACTCACAGCCCGTTCGGCGACCCAGCAAACAATCGCATGGGTTATCTATATCACGTCAGACCATTGCAGTACCAATAGCAAAAAAGTTCACCCTGTTCTCTGGCCAACTTTGCCACTCCATACCAGCCCCGAACCTGTTCGGTTTGCACCGAGCCTAGAATCGCCATGGCTTGTCCCATGTCGTTGCCGGTCTCAAAACGAACCTAAATTGTCCCAGCRGTTYCCGGCCTGGATTGATACACCGTAGAGGCCCCGGACCAGAAAATAGATCGCCGCACCGATTCTGAATCTGAAAAATATACCGCTGCAGTGACTGGAGTCCTGAAAATAAATCACCGCAGGGTTCGAACCTGAAATAAATCACCGTGAGGGCGTTGATCCTGAAACGAAACAACGCGATGCCACCCATCCTGATCAAACCCGAAAGCCAATATCGGGCTGCTGTGCCACGCGGAGCCGAACCCGTACAACCATGCCTCGATAATTCCGTACCTGTCCCGAACCTAATATAGGACGCCGCAGCGCTTCCGGGCCTGAGAATAAATCGTCACARAGGTCCCGAACCTGATATAGGACGCCGCAACGTCTCCGGATCTGAACACAAACTGCCGCCAAGGTCCCAAACCYGGTGCAAMTGTCATAGTGGCCCCGGTCCTGAGAATAAATCACCGCAACTGTCCCAAACCTGAAAATAAGTTACCGTAGTGAGACAGGGGTCACCAAGCCCATACCGTACCTGAAGC